TAAGTTTTGACAGCTCAGAATAGTGATCTGTGATTGGCTGGAGCTGGTCACATGGTGCAGGGTGCTGTGATTGACCCCATGTATCATGTGACAGCTGTGGGCCAATCACAGCTCACTATGAACAGAAGCAGAGCTGTTATGAATGAGAATTGATTCCTAACAGCTTTGCTCACATTGTGATCATGTGATCGCATAGTGATCACATGATCACCAGGTCCCGTCCACCAGGATCTTCATTCTGCTGTGTCCACTGCACACAGCAGTCACGAGGGGCAACCCCCCCCCCCCCCCCGTGTTAGTACAGCCAGAGCGACATATGGGTACGTTGCTTTACCTGTAGCTTCCACTCTGCCGCAGTGCATTGCGAGCGGGCGGTTGGAAAGCAGTTAGAAAAAAAAAAAGCCAAAGAAACGGTTCCATCGTTGTAATCCATTGTCAATCACAGCATCCAGCATTGTAACGATGACGCCGACTTGCCAAAATAAAAAAAAAAAACGTTTCCCCGCCAGCCCATCCGCATCCACCGAGCACTCGCCGCAATATGGCAGCTCTGACATTTGCCTGTCAAGGGAACAAGATGCTTTGCATGCGGGAGTCCCCCTGGCATAGCACCTTGTCCTCCTGATGATGAGGAGAAGAGCTTCTTCCCCATAACTCTGGACCAGTGGTTGTGGGGGTCTACTTGCATGGTGCTTATCAGAATCAGGAAGTCCTTTTTCACAATAAGGGTGCACCCAGATACCAGCCCACCCTATGTGGATGAGTAAGGGTACATAGTACCCTTACTCATTCACAAAACAAAATGTAAAATAGTAAAAAAAAATGGCACACACACACACACTTTTTGACAAGTCCATAATTAAAAATAAAAATGTACATCTACTGTTGACATGTCATTCAGTGATGTAGGTCCATGTCAATCACAATGCCCTATGCCTGCTGACCCACTGAAAGAAGAAAAAAGTCTCCACTCACTGGTACACATATTGTTCCATCACTTGACTCCTGTTCAATGACAGGTCTGCCAGATAACACTTATATAAATGTAACATCCTGCAGTAACACTGGTTGCAGGATGTTAAGTGCATAGAAGTTGGCAGTGTTCTGCAGTTCAGTTAAACAGACTCTATTGAAGAAAGGCCTTGTTTGGACCTGTAGACTGGTAGCAGGACTTTTAAGTTTAGAGAACAGGTGAATAGACTAAATTTCCAAGAGGAACTAGCTAAGGGGCGGGAGCGGGAAGTCTGGGAACAGGAAGGCAGGAAGTGGATGGTGAGAACCAGAGATCAGGTGTATATGGAGAAGGCTGTGCAGGACGCTGGAGATCCAGGCTGGGTCAGGCCACAGAGTGAAGGTGTGAGGAGGAATCGCAAACCACTGTCATTGCTAACAAGCAGGATGGACAATCCTGTAGGCAGGTTGACCAGAGTGCTGTCATCTGCACCGCTCTTCAAACAGAGGAACCAAGAGAACATGGGTGCCCCCCTTCTGAGAGACTATATGCCACTTTAACCGAGGTCACAAACTGGGAGAGAGGGTTCCATACCCAATCATCAAAAGTTGACGTAACATTGTTAAGTTCAGTTTTCAGTTCAGCACATTTGTTTAACAGCTACTCACATTGAGGCCTAGATTTTCTGGCTTATCTTGCACTGCAACCTACTAGTCATTGCATAGTCAATATCTTAAATTGCTGGACTTTGCTTAAATACATGCACCCCTGCAGACAAAATTACAGTACTGTCTCAGTTCCAGTCTGTTTTTATTCCCAAAGGAACTTTCTCATCACACTAGCTCACCATCCTTAATGGGGATCAAACCCTGCTGAAGTCTGCTTCTGCCCCTTTCTACCATCTAAGTTAAATCTTAGACTTCATTCTTTGTGTTAAAGAGATATCATCCAAATTCAACATCACTTAAAGGAGAAGTTCCCTTTTCTCAGTATTTACACTATCTGGTGGAAATCTTGCTTTTACAGAAGGAAAGATGTGAACCATTATGTGCACCAACTAGGGCCCCATTGAGTGCATAGAACATTGAACACCTCTGTGCTAAAGAAACAAAACAAACAAAAATGGGACATGTATACATCTAACCAAAAGAATCCACTTACAGAGTTAAACCCAGTCACCAGTGACTGGGAACCCAAATGTGTGTTAGTCTGACAGCTTGATAGTTCTTTCCAGCTCACTTGGGGATAAATATCTCAAAGCTGGGACTGATGTTTAAATTTCTTATTAGCAGGACATTTGAGAAATGGTTAAAGTGTACTGTGTTGCAACACTTGTCTGGAATCTTCTAGAGTGTTTAACTTTTAGTCTAGGCACTAATGCTAATGTAATTTTGTTGTGCTTTGCACTCTTTCCATTCTGATTAATAACCAAAATATCATTTCACTCTAAACTGTGTGTGTCTATTTTTATAGTTTCAAGCCAGGGGTCCTCCAGGTCAAAGATTTAAGGTGGTTTTTCAGCAGGGGTTGGTCTTCCAAGGCAAGCTCAGGATAGACAGGGAACCCAAAAATACTCAGTTACCTTCAAGGGGTAGCGCTACATAAAGTCTTCCAGATTACATCATTGACCATATATAATGTCACCCAAGAAATCCCGCCCCTTTCTTTATATAGGTCTTTATCTGCTGAACTTGTCCATTTGGCAGAATTCAAGTGACGGAACCCAATGAGTACCACCAGGTTTTTTTTTTTTTTTTTTTGGACGATGGGCGTTTGGACAGCATGATTAACACATCACTGGATAATGTGATGGATGGTGGATGTACATAGTGGAAATGTTTTGTTTTGTTTTTTTTTCATTTGTCAAAAACTGGGTGTTTCACATTTTTTGTGAACGAATAAGATTTTTCATTCACATTAACATTTTAAAGGCTTCAAGATCCTGAAAAAGCTCCCTGCCTGCAACTGACCCACCAGGCCAACATGGTTGTATACATTGCAAAGATTGCACCGCTACACAGGCAGGGTCAGGGCATCCCCCAGTCATGTTATTTAAAGGAATTTCGCATTTATAATTAGAGATGAGCGAATCGAAGTAGGCGAAGTGGAATTCGTTTCGAATATTGGAAAATTTTCGATTCGCGCCGAATCCGAAAAAATAGCATACTTCGGATGCGCGAATCGAAATTTTTCCTAAAATGGCGGCGGACATGTGCGGCGACGGAGCGGGGATGTCTGGGAAGGCGCGCAGACAAGGCGCGCTGACCCATAATGCATTCCTTAATGACATGTGATCGCATTAGCCAATCAGCAGCCAGCCAGCCAGCCAGCACTGTGTAATGGTCGAGCTATAAATGGCGGCCATTTTAGAATTCTTCATTTGGCCTCCAGTCATTCAAGAGAGGCAGACCGCTCTGTATTAGGGACAGAGTTAGGGCCACAGAAACGTTACTTGGGGACAGAGAAAACGTTACTTAGGGACAGAGAAACGTTACTTAGGGACAGAGAAACATTACTCAGGGACATAGAATTGTTAGTGAGGGCCACAGAATCGTTACTTTAGGGCCACAGAAACGCTAGTTAGGGCCACAGAATTGTTACTCAGGGACAGACAGAATTGTTACTTAGGGCCACAGAAACGTTAGTTAAGGCCACAGAATTGTTACTCAGGGACAGACACAGAATTGTTACTGAGGGCAACAGAACTGTTACTTAGGGCCACAGAAAACGTTAGTTAGGGCCACAGAATTGTTACTCAGGGACAGACACAGAATTGTTACTGAGGGCAACAGAACTGTTACTTAGGGCCACAGAAACGTTAGTTAGGGCCACAGAATTGTTACTCAGGGACAGACACAGAATTGTTACTGAGGGCCACAGAATTGTTACTTAGGGCCACAGAAACGTTACTCAGGGCCACAGAATTGTTACTGAGGGGCCACAGAACTGTTTACTTAGGGCCACAGAAACGTTAGTTAGGGCCACAGAATTGTTACTCAGGAACAGACACACAGAATTGTTACTGAGGGCCACAGAATTGTTACTTAGGGCCACAGAAACGTTACTCAGGGACACAGAATTGTTACTGAGGGCCACAGAACTGTTACTTAGGGCCACAGAAACGTTAGTTAGGGCCACAGAATTGTTACTCAGGGACAGACACAGAATTGTTACTGAGGGACACAGAATTGTTACTGAGGGCCACAGAACTGTTACTTATGGGCCACAGAATTGTTTACTCAGGACACAGTTTAGAATTGTTACTGAGGGCAACAGAACCGTTACTTAGGCCACAGAATTGTATACTCAGGGACAGACACAGAATTGTTACTCAGGGACACAAGAATTGTTACTGAAGGCCACAGAAACCGTTACTTTAGGGCCACAGAATGTTACTCAGGGACACAGAATTGTTACTGAGGGCCACAGAACCGTTACTTAGGGCCACAGAATTGTTACTCAGGGACAGACACAGAATTGTTACTCAGGGACACAGAATTGTTACTGAGGGCCACAGAACCGTTACTTAGGGCCACAGAATTGTTACTCAGGGACACAGAATTGTTACTGAGGGCCACAGAACCGTTACCTAGGGCCACAGAATTGTTACTCAGGGACAGACACAGAATTGTTACTGAGGGCCACAGAATTGTTACTTAGGGCCACAGAAACGTACTCAGGGACACAGAATTGTTTCATACTGAGGGCCACAGAACTGTTACTTAGGGCCACAGAAACGTTAGTTAGGCCACAGAATTGTTACTGAGCGGCCACAGAACCGTTACTTAGGGCCACAGAATTGTTACTCCAGGGACACAGAATTGTTACTGAGGGCCACAGAACCGTTACTTAGGGCCACAGAATTGTTTACTCAGTGACACAGAATTGTTACTGAGGGCCACAGAAATGTTACGTTTAGGGCCACAGAATTGTTACTCAGGGACAGACACAGAATTGTTACTGAGGGACACAGAATTGTTACTGAGGGCCACAGAACCGTTACTTAGGGCCACAGAAACGTTACTCAGGGACACAGAATTGTTACTGAGGGCCACAGAACCGTTACTTAGGGCCACAGAATTGTTACTCAGGGACAGACACAGAATTGTTACTGAGGGACACAGAATTGTTACTGAGGGCCACAGAACCGTTACTTAGGGCCACAGAATTGTTACTCAGGGACACAGAATTGTTACTGAGGGCCACAGAACCGTTACTTAGGGCCACAGAATTGTTACTCAGGTGGACAGACACAGAATTTGTTACTCAGGGACACAGAATTGTATACTGAGGGCCACAGAACCGTTACTTAGGCCACAGAAACGTTACTCAGGGACACAGAATTGTTACTGAGGGCCACAGAAACCGTTACTTAGGGCCACAGAAACGTTACTCAGGACACAGAATTGTTACTGAGGGCCACAGAACCGTTACTTAGGGCCACAGAAATTGTCACTCAGGGACAGACACAGAATTGTTACTCAGGGACACAGAATTGTTACTGAGGGCCACAGAACCGTTACTTAGGGCCACAGAAAAAGTTACTCAGGGACACAGAATTTGTTACTGAGGGCCACAGAACCTTTACTTAGGGCCACAGAATTGTTACTCAGGACAGACACAGAATTGTTACTGAGGGACACAGAATTGTTACTGAGGGCCACAGAACCGTTACTTAGGGGCCACAGAATTGTTACTCAGGGACACAGAATTGTTACTGAGGGCCACAGAACCGTTACTTAGGGCCACAGAAACGTTACTCAGGGACACAGAATTGTTACTGAGGGCCACAGAACCGTTACTTAGGGCCACAGAATTGTTACTCAGGGACAGACACAGAATTGTTACTCAGGGACACAGAATTGTTACTGAGGGCCACAGAACCGTTACTTAGGGCCACAGAAAACGTTTCTCAGGGACACAGAATTGTTACTGAGGGCCACACAGAACCGTTACTTAGGGCCACAGAATTGTTACTCAGGGACAGACACAGAATTGTTACTCCAAGGGACACAGAATTGTTACTCAGGGACACAGAATCGTTGAATTAAAGAGTATGTCAGACAACATGCAGAGGAGTGGCAGAGGAGGCAATGTATTTAGGAGCGAGCAGACGTGGCAGCAGAGGAAGGGGTCGAGGCAGCACTATTCGCAGCCAGAGGCCAGTGCTCCCGGTGTCATCCAGCGGTTCGTGTCTCCACCGACAACCCTGCCGTCATCGATTGGTTGGCTCGGTCGTCTTCCTCTTCCCAGGTCACCTCTGACACCTACAGCCAACGGTCGGTTGGTTACACGTCAGACACAACCGTTAGTTGGCATGGCTGGGGAGCAAGCCCACTGAAATCACGTGTCCTCTACCTGCCCCTGTCCTTTGCTGTTTCCTCACCAAGCGAAGTATCGCATGCTGTGGGCTCAGCCCCACTGTACAGTGAGGAAGAGCTAACAGAGGGCGGTCAGGAACGGGGGGAGACATCCGCCTTTTCAGCAGCCAGGCGAAGAAGTACTGGCGAGGAGAGTGGCTCGGTAGCCGGTCTAGAGACAGGTCTGTCTCCTTGACCCAGACGCAGCCGAGGGGGCTAGTAAATGAGGCGGAGACCCTACTTGATGATGAGGAGGTTGATCGCACTTGGCAGCCTCGTCGTCATCAGGTATTTCTCTTCCGCATCATCAGGAGAAGAGGGTGCCCAGCTTGGCAGCGAGCGAAAAAGTCGGTGGGTTGCCCAGGAGGCAGCAGGGTCGCAGCAGTGTCAGTGGAGCCAAACGGCCACGGAGTACAGCACCAGCTCCACTGCAGCCTACCACCACGGCCAGTAGTGGTGCCGGTGCGCACGGAGGAAGTAGCAGTCAGGCCAGTGAGGAGTAGCGGGGGCAAAGTTTCCTACTCGGCGGCGGTGTGGCAAAATTTTTCGTCAAGCCGCCCGAGGAAGTAAAACGTAGCCGTATGTCGACTATGTGGCCAGAAATGCAAGCGTGGCCAGGGGGGCCCATGTTGGGACTACAGCGTTGCGTCAGCATATGCAGCGTCACCATTCGGTGGCCTGGGAAAAACCGTGATAAAGATACGGCGGCGGTTCTGCCTGCCCCCAGCCCCCGCTCCATCACCCCGCTCCGTTACTTGCTCCGTCACCCGACGTCAATCGCCCCTCTATCAGCCAGTCAAGGCTCCAACACCTCTGCTGAGGGGAGTTGTCGCTCGTTTGCATCTTCCGCTCGTTCAGACATGCTCTTTCTCCTGCTACTCCTCTTCTCGGATTCCGTCAGCAGTCTTTCTTGGAATCCGTTTCCAAGAGAACAACAGTTTGCGAGCACGCACCCGACGGTGCAAAAGCTGAACGTCCTCCTGTCCAAGTTTGCTGGTGCTGCAGTCCCTCCCTTTCCAAGTGGTGGACTCAGCACCTTTCCGAGAAATGATGGGCTTGTGCCCGCGCCGCGGGTGGAGAGTGCCAAGCCGTCATTTTCTTCGCCCAAAAAAGGCAGTGCCAGCCCTGCATTCACATGTAGAAGAGATGGTGGGCCAGTCTTTGAGCATGTCGGTCTCTGCCAAAGTGCACGGCAGCGCCGACGTGTGAGCTGTAAACTACGGTCAGGGACAGTACATGTCATTTATGGGCCTACTGGGTGAACGTGGTGCCGGCACAGCCGCACCAGCAACTTGGACAGGTCACGCCGCTTTTGCCTCCACACGTTTGCACGTCCTTGGTCCAGCAAGATGTCCGCCTCTACCACCTCTTCTTCCGCCGTGTCCTCAGCCGCCACCCCCGTGCCAAGTCCCATTACCCGACCGGCATATCACATGTGCAGGGCGCAACGGTGTCACGCTGTGCTGCACCTGGTATGCCTTGGCGAACGTAGTCACACAGGGGAGGAGGAACTTCTGAGTGTAATGAACAGAGAAATCGACAGATGGCTGTCTCCGCGCAAACTGAAAGTCGGAACCATGTTGACCGACAACGGAAAGAACATGGTGTCTGCTCTGCGTCAAGGAAGGTTGTGCCATGCGCCATGCATGGCTCACGTGTTCAATCTGGTTGTCAAGCGGTTCCTAAAATCCACCATCCCACTGCAAGACATCCTTAAAATGTCACGTAAACTTTGCATGCATTTCAGCCATTCCTACACCGCAAAGCACACCCTCCTTGAGCTGCAGCAGCAAACGGAATTCCACAGCATCGCCTGATCTGCGACGTTGCAACAAGGTGGAATTCAACCCTACACATGTTAGACCGCCTTTACGAAAGCAGCGAAAGGCCATCACCGATTTCCTGATGTTACAAGCGGATAAAGGTACTCCCCCTGTGTAACTTCGATGTCAGCCATTTGGCAGCTCATGCGTGACACCTGCCGCTTGCTCAGGCCCTTTGAGGAGGCCACGCTATTCGTGAGTCGTCAGGACTATGGGATGAACGACGTCATTCCTCTGTTGCACGTCCTGGAACAAATGCTGTTAACAATGGCTGGTCAGGGTGCGGTAGACGTGGCGCACAGATCTCAACGCCACATGACCCCTGTGGGGGGCAGGACAGGAAGAAGAGGAGGAGGTAGAGGAGGAACATTTGTGCTCAGGAATTATTGAGTGAAATGGGTGGTTTTTCCACTCAGCGGACAGGAGTGGAGGAGCAGGAGCATCTGGTAGAGGAGGAGGAGGAGGACAGAGGACCCAGACGCACCGTGGCAGTATGCTGTGGAGATGGAGGCAGGGAGTCCCTCGCATTCCTTGGCACAAATGGCCCATAGCATACTCGGTTGCTTGCGTAGCGACAGCCGAATAATAACCATCAGACAGAGGGGATGACTTTTGGCTGTCCACCTTGTTGGACCCTCGCTACCGTTCCAAAAATGGTGGCCTTTTTCACACCTGCTGAGAGGGAGGCCAAAATTACGTACTATAAAAACCACCTATGTAAGTCAGTTGGTCTCTGCCTTTCTGCGCCAACGTCCATCCTCAGACACTGTGGGCCCTGTGCGCTCGCGTTCCGCTGCCATGGCAGCAGGGGAGGGGTTGGGTGTAGGAGAGTGGCAGCTCCACCAGCAGCGGCTGCATCAGTCTGCAGTTGATGATGAGTAGCTTTCTTCACCAGCGCAGTGAGGAAACTACTAACCAGCCAGCAGCAGCAGCAGCAGCATCAGGTGGACCTGGAGCAGGAGCTCAAACAACAGGCTTGGGCCTACTTGGACAGCACCCTGACACACCAACCGAGGTAGACAATCCCCTTGACTACTGGGCAACGAAACTTGACCTTTGGCCCCAACTAGCTGAATTTGCCCTTGAAAGGCTGTCATGCCCGGCCAGTAGCGTGGCATCGGAGCGCGTGTTTAGTGCGGCAGGAGGTATTGTAACTCCGCGGAGGACACGACTGTCCACCCAAAGTGTGGAGAGACTCACGTTTGTGAAAATGAATCAGCGCGTGGATTAGTCTGGATTTTCAAAACCACCAGTTCCTGACACAACTGACTAAATCCGCCATAAATCATGCCCCAAACATGTGCCACTTTCAGGTCGTCCTCACACACTGCTGGTGTGTTCCATTTTTTGTCATAGGGTTGCTGGCAGATTACCGGGCCTCCCATAGCTGCTGCCAGGCCCCCTAATCTGCCATGGGCCCCTGTACCGCCTCCCTCCTCATGCTGCTGCCCAGGTCCAGAGTCTCTCATGGGTCCCTGTACGGCCTCCCATTGCTGCTGTCTCCATCGCCACACTCTGCCATGTGCCACTTTCAGGTCTCCTCACACACTGCTGGTGTGTTCAATTTTTTTTTGACATAGGGTGCTGGCAGATTACGGGCCTCCCATAGCTGCTGCCAGGCCCCTAATCTGCCATGGCCCATGTACCGCCTCCTCATGCTGCTGCCAGGTCCAGAGTCTCTCATGGGTCCCTGTACGGCCTCCCATTGCTTGCTGTCCTCCATCGCCACACTCTGCCATGTGCCACTTTCAGGTCTCCTCACACCACTGCTGGTGTGTTCAATTTTTTGTCATAAGGTGCTGGCAGATTACGGGCCTCCCATAGCTGCTGCCAGGCCCCTAATCTGCCATGGGCCCCTATACCGCCTCCTCATGCTGCTGCCAGGTCCACAAGTCTCTCATGGGTCCCTCTACGGCCTCCAATTGCTGCTGTCTCCATCGCCACACTCTGCCATGTGCCCACACTTTCAGGTCTCCTCACACACTGCTGGTGTGTTTACATTTTTTTGTCATAGGGTGCTGGGCAGATTAACGGGCCTCCCATAGCACTGCTGCCAGGCCCCTAATCTGCCATGGGCCCCTGTACCCCTCCGCCTCCTCATAGCTGCTGCCAGGTCCAGAGTCTCTCATGGGGCCCTGTACGGCAATTACCCTCCCATTGCTGCTGTCTCCCATTGCCTCACTCTGCCCATGTTGCCACATTTCAGGTCTCCTCACACACTGCTGGTGTGTTCAATTTTTTGTCATAGGTGCTGGCAGATTACGGGGCCTCCCGATAGCTGCTGCCAGGCCCCCTAATCTGCCATGGGCCCCTATACCGCCTCCTCATGCTGCTGCCAAGGTCCAGAGTCTCCTCATGCCATGTGTGCCACTTTATTCGTCCCCCGGTCTCCCTCACACTGCTGTGTGTTCAATTTTTTTGACATAGGGTGCTGCAGATTAGGGGCCTCCCATAGCTGCTGCCAGGCCCCTAATCTGCCATGGGCCCCTATACCGCCTCCTCATGCTGCTGCCAGTGTCCACAGTCTCTCATGGGTCCCTGTACGGCCTCCCATTGCTGCTGTCTCCATCGCCACACACTCTGCCATGTGCC